TGTGAATGGCTAACATTAACGTCCCATTCTTCAGCAACGGCTTTGAACTTAATACCATTCAGAGAGAACAGCAGAAGTATTAATCAAGTGGACATCTTATCAAAACTATCTTCAGGTAGCAAATCAAATTACCTCAAAAATCAAGGAGAAACCCTTTGGTCTGCAAACAACACAGCAAGAAGCAGCAGCCGACAGCAACATCCAGGCCTTAACACTGGGGACAGCAATACGAGGGGCTTTCTTTCCGAGTGCACCATCACGGCAACATTCCCTTTCTCTGCTTCCTCCCTAACAAATGCAAATGTCCAAGATGTACTCATTGACTTTTCCAACCAACCTATTCAGAGATGTCATTACACACTCTGGTGCAGGTGGGATCTCAGCCTTCACGCTCAGATGTAGAGACACTACCATGATATGACAAGATGCACCCAAATTATTTGATCAATGTCCTTCACCTGTACATCCTTAATACAACAACTGATTAGATGCTGCCATTAAAAAAAATGACAAGTATTAAACTGAACAAAATACATGGCTTGCTTACTAAGTTTAAAATGATACTTTTACAAATGATGTCTATACCGGTAATTTAATACTTGCCTGGAATAACTGACTATAAAAGGTGAAGCAAAGGTGGTGTAAATGTTGGAGATTGTAGTGTAAACTGGCCGATACCAAATCAACACCTCATTTTGTTGCCCATTTATTTTTTTCATTCAGAGGCGCAATTATCTCTGCTCCAGCACATCCTTGCAGCACATCATCATCTGAGGTCCAACTACTTTCAGTTGCTTCATCAATAATTTTTCCCTCCATCAAATGATCAAAGGTGAATCTGGTTGCTGACATATCACCTCCATTTATAATTCAGATAATGAATTGACCAGGCTCAATGTTAGAACATCTGGATAACATCCTGTCTTAGGCTGATATGGGGAAAGTAACATTCATATCAATTGAGTACTGACTATTTTCAGCTCCAACCACCTTACCTTAAACTTGACTTTGAATGCTATTAGTGTTGCTATTGTTGACATCTTGGAAGTCACTATTGACCAAAAACTGAAATAGTTCAGACCAGTCACTAACTCATTGGTGGGTAATCTGCAGTGTATGGCTTGCTTTCCAAATCCCCAAAGTATCGTAATCAGCCACAAAATGCAAGTCAGCATTCAGATGGGATAATTACTAGTAAACGTTGTTACAGCTTCAAGAATATTCAAGATACTCAATACCATCCAAAAATTGGCAACCCAGACATCCAGTGTGCTGTCTGCTATTGTTGTCCCATGGATAGAGTGTTCAACCACTGTTCCAACGCTTCAACATTTCTTCAGCAGAAAACCCAACCCAGAGGCACAACAGCAAAAGGCAAATGGGAACAACAATGCCTCTACATTTCTCTCAAAACACATACTACAATCAACTTGGACATATGTTGTAATTTCTCCAGTGGGGCAAGCATGAATTTTAGAACTCTTTACCTAACAAACTTGTGTGAACACATTTACTACATAGATTCCAGAGGTTCAAAAACAAAGGACCCTATCACTTTCTCAGATCAACTAGAAATGGACAATGCCAGCCTTGCCAGTGACTTCTATTTCAAGAAGTAATAAAAATAAGTATGCGTATGAAGTAATGAAGATAAAAGGGGGTTGTTGGGTTTAGGAATAGTACTTCACTGGCAGAATGAAGGGGAGAAATGCCTAGGGAGAAAAAGCGCTGTGGAAGGAATGGGAAGCTGCTTAGTGATCTGAGGATTATGTTAACACTTCTCAGGAACAATTCCTGCTGTACATTTCTATACTTAAAACTGTCTGCAAATGTTAACGTTAAAGAAACCTTAATTTTCTGAACTATACCCAAATTCAAATTATGAACCTCTCATTTCACAAGACACTTGAGACAGTAAGGTACCTTTTAGAAGTTACAGGATGTAGCTACACTATAACAGAGTTAAAGATACACTTTAGATGCTGCAGTACTCGCATTAAAGCAGGATGAATACAAAGCCGTAGCCCAACAAGGAGGTCTTCCTGGAGCAGCCAGTCTCTTTTTGCTTTATTTTGGAGATATTCAAGCTTTATGTCCAATTTAGATTACACAACTTTAACGCACTTTCAGGGGAAAATAAAACATTGCAAAAACCCAAAAACTGAAAAGTAAATGCACTGTAAACATCAACCTTCAAGATTTCAGCCACAGGTTTTAACAATGTGAAGAGGTGATCTAGCTTTTAGTGGCCGTTTAAAGAGTTGTTGGGGCTAGGTATAATTGGAGTTATAGCAATGATTTTACAATACTGGAAGCCCTTGCTCACTAATATTAATAAAATCCATGCTCTGTGTAATTTTAAGTTGATGAGGCATATAACACAGAAATACACATTAAGAACTTCCAAGGTAAATCAAAATGCTCATGCACTTCCTTATCAAACTGCTATGTGTCCACGTGAAACAAGACTACCTATATTACAATGTATTAATGAAGCACTGTAAATGGACACATGATGATTTCAGTTGCAACATTTCTCTGGAGAAAATGTTTCAAACAACAAACTCAAAGCTAAGGTGCACTGACAAAGTAAATAAATCATTAAAATAGGGAACCAGAAAACAATAGACATTCATCAGATGATAAGAATAGCATGAAACAATGCAAGATAACAACTTAGTCAAGAATATGGAGGCTTCAAAGGTAAATAAGAATCCTTCTTGTTTTTCCAATGCATGATTTAGCAAAATTCCAGATGTTCCATGTACTACCTCAATTCTACACATATGTATACTGGTAGAATGCTACAAATTTAAAAGTTTTCTGAAACTTTTTTGGATTTAATTTAGTACAACGTATAACTGATCGCCAGTGGTATTGCTCCATTAATCTTTTGTCTGGAGCATAGTTTTGGCAATAACAATCTGACACATCTTCCTTCTTGGCATAAGTTCCTTTATATAATTCAAATTCTACACCTACAAACAAAACTCCTGAAGAGAAATATTGGAAGCTAAATTTAAGACTAACTAAAGAGAAATAATTCTGTAAAATGGCAATTGCTTTAAAACTTCAACTCGTTTTCCTTGTGAAATAGCAAGGTTATCAATGCAGAAGGAAAAAAAGAAATCAATCCAGAAATCACTGCTTTTCTTTCCTTAAAATGTGAATTCTAAAGTTGACTGGATGGTACTGCAGAAACACTTGAAACTCTTCAAAACAAAGGTACTTTTATAAATTAGTAGCACTGAATCTATGGAACTAGATTGGAACTTACTCTACTACATCTACTGACTGGCAGTTAGCAGCAAAATGAAAGCTTTGACTGGCAATTGTAGAGTTGTGAGGCATGATGGTGATGTACCTGATCACTGTGATAAGGTTAGCTATAACACTGGCTTATTCTGCCAAGCTACGTGTCATCCCCTATTCTCCTTTCACTTGGTTGTCAATCTTTTGAATAGCTTGACATGCCTGACCATTGGATGCTCTGGTGCAATTATGGTAGCGGTGGCATGAACAGCCAGAATCCATCTGTTTTGCAGAAGTACTTCTCTGCATTTTTAGCTGGATCTCCAATTTGAATGACACCAGCAGGAGTTGGCCCCACGGTGAATTCTGTATCAGATGCAACTCCCTAACAGTGTTGAGGCCTGGGCACTGACCTCTTTTCTTTAGGCATTCTCATGAGTTCGAAGCCCAGATATATGTCTTCACTCTCTTCTAGGGTAGTGAAGGTCTTGAAGTTTCTTCAAATCGCATTGTGGAAGAGACAAAAGAATATTCTTCATCAACAGTATTTGGATTATGAAGTGCATGAGTTTTTTTGAATAATGAACAAGACTTGAAGTATAGCAAATTATTAGGAGCACAGGACATTACAACTATTAATCAGTGAGACTTTACCAAATTTAACACGCAATTGCAAGTTAACAAAAGAATTTTAAAACGTAATCATAAATATTGCTGATTTCAAAGACAGCTACATACAAATCACTTACCACAATTGGAATACTGAAGTGCAGTGAGCTGCTTCCGCAACCAGAATAATTTAACCAGCCACATAACCAGTTCCCTCTGCTTTTATAAACTTGTAAGATTATGAGTTTTTGTTATCTTCTTTCTTTCTAAAATTTGAAAGGCTGATCACTAAGCTTTCCAATCATCCCACTTTGTAGATGCTATTGCTTTATAGCGAAAAAATTAAACCATTGCTTCACTGAAACAAATATGAGTAACCATAAGTGTGTCTTCAACACAGTCACCTCTTTCTGGCAGCCACCTTCATGTGCACAGGCTAACTACTTCATTCTATATGTCAATAACTTCAGCATTCAAGTGGATGACAATTACTATTAGAAATGTTGCCAGTGCAGTCATAGTAACAGCAGCTAGCACAAAATGCTGGTGACAGTTCATGACTGACTGAAGTACCTTTATGGCCAGCTGATCCAAATAATGAATCAAAAGAGTGACAAATCAATGTTACACTAACGTTTGACCACAGCAATATGCTATTGAAACTTTAAGAGTGATACAAGACAAGATCAAAGTACACCATGTCAGAACTTATAAAAATGGAGAGTCAAGTGATTTTTACATTTCAGCAGTTGCTAAGTACAATGGTATGTTTGCTGGAGTATCGATTACACTTGAACTGATAATTTGTCATCTATAACAGGATCTAAACTCCTGAATACAGATGGTGGGCGTTCCCATTTCGAGCGGGGAAAAAATGGGGGGGAAGAAAGGAACATTTGTTCAATACGCTCAGAATATGTTATGTGCCATGGTTAGTTCCATTTGAGGATGCAATCTGACTTCATCCGTTCCTAGATATCCGAAAAGCAGCTCGGATCGCTTCTGAAAAAGAAAAAAAAGCCTACCTCTGAGGAACGTCGATGTTTGCCGAAGGAAGGAGGCGTTTCTGTTCTGACACCGAGCCAAGGGGGAGGGTCGAGTGCTCCTTCTCCACCTCGCGAGTTCTGTTACATTTGTTTTCCAGATACCGGTCTTCGGGCTTTTTGGCTGTCAGGCCGCGTGGCTCTGGGGATCTTAAAGGAACATCATTCTTTTCTCGTTCTTGAAACGCCGCCACCGAGTCACTGCCTTTGCAGTTCAAAAGCATCTGTAATTTTATAAAACCGAGAGCTAATGACTTTTTTTTTCTCCGCCGCGGCAAATGAAACCTTTTCCAAAAAGAAACTTTTTCCCCCCCAAAAGTAAACATCCGGAATGCAGGCAAATCAACCTAAAATGTTCGGTTAGTTTTCTTATTGCAGGCCTGCCTATTGCCAAGCTAAACTGGACAAACCCCAACGTCCAGACATTGAAATGACAAGTCCACAAGTGGCAAAGTTGTTTAGACAGTTCACCCCAAGGAATGTGCTGTATCTCGATTGACATGTTTACTTTCAAAAACGGGACCGACACTAATAATACAGCAGTGTAACATTCAATGTTTGGTACCGGCGTTTGGTCTCGCTGGAGATGGGCATTTAATTATACCTGTTTCCTCGCTCTACTCTCTTTAAACTTTGGACGTGCACTTCAGGCGCCATCTTAGTTTCAATATATATTGCAAATATAAAAAAGTAATATGTCTGATTGGAAAAAAAACATAAATGAAATCATGCATCGACTTTGCAATCGGTGGAAACCATTTAACCTTTTGTGCAATGAAAATGAATAATTGTTTAAATACCTTTTGATTATATCCGGATTTTCCTTTTCCAGATACTTTGACATCGATGCAGATTATTTCTTCTTCTGCATACTCTCTGAGTGAGCCATCATCTAACATGATTGTGTATAAATTATTGCCCGCAGGGTCGTTCTTACAAGCCTGAATCACTCCAGAGACTCTGACTTCGCCGGCTGAACTTGGCGCGCAAACCTTTGTACCTACAACTTTATATTTTTTGGTAAGGCGTTTGGAGCTCATGGTCTTGCTTTTTGGGGGGGTGGAAGAAGACGGGGTGAACTAAACTAGGCGTCTGTTTTTTTTTCCCTCACGGAAGAGGCTAATGTAATTTTACATTCGTGTGAGATTCTGATATTTGCACGCACAGAGAGAGGGAGAAACCGCCCCTCGACTCTGCGAGCCGGCGTTCCTGCTGATTACAATTGTTTTGCTTCTCTCCCTGTGCCCGGGTTGAGCCGGGCCCCGCCCCTCCCAGGGCTGGGCCCCGCCTCCCATTCACACCGATTGGTGGCTGCATATTATAAACATTCCATTAAAGAACGCTGACAGTGGCAACAAGGCGCCCGGCTGGTGTAGCTACTTGTCACTCAATGCCGGTCCGCTGCTGTTCCCGGTGCCCGGGCAGCGCAGTTTGCAGACCCACTGCCCCACCTCGCCCCTTTCCACCGTCACCACCCCTTTTTACTCCCACTTCACTTCTTTCCAACCCCTCCTCCCGCCCTTTCCAGCTCCCCTTTAATAACCCATCTTGTCTCCCTCCTTCCACCACTTCCCCTTGCCTCCCACCTTGCAACCAAAGTTGGGTCAAAACATTTCAAAACGAACTAATTCACTGCCATGTGCCTATCACGCATTTCCAAGTTTGGCTCCGCCTGTTTGATTTATTTTTAATCCAGTCTCGATACGATTGGATTTTTAGAAGTTACGCCTCTTCTATTTTCGTTGATTTCATCTCTCCCTTTTCAAGCGATCACTGGTTCTCAGTCTGATTATTACTCACTCACTTAGTTGCCTTGTCCACCTGCAACTTGCTGCCGCTCAGCTTGGCTTTCCACGTCGAGGATTGCTCTGGGGGGGAAAGTTGCACGTTAAGAAACGGGGCTGACTCCCCACCCCCTGCGATCAGCCTGTGGGCAGGAGTAATGGAACGGACTGCAGAGCGCGCCGGCCGGTTTCTCCGCCCATCAATCATAGCAAAGAGCTAGCAGGGACTTGACACTGTAATGTTTACAGCACGTAGTGCACGTCGCTATTCAAACGGAGATCCAATAGATCTGCAAGCGGCCGGAGGGAAAATGGCAGCCCTGTTGAGTCTTGCTCGCTTAACTTTTTTTAAAATATTAATCTAGAGTTTGTATCATTGCGGTATGAATACAGTCCTTGTAGGTAAACTCAGGCTTTTCCTCACTAAGTGGAAAGCGAGTCAGAGGGCTAACCAATTTCATTTGACTTGTGAAAGCTATGTGGTTTAAAAACGTGATTAGGTGACAGGCGAATAATTTACATTTTGCATATAATTAGGTTGGTTGCACTGATATGACAGTTATTTTATCTGTTCTAGTAAGTACATTTCACATGGGCTTTAAAAATAGCATTTAATGTTAAGGTGAAGCGAAATTTGCTGACTTATGTATCAAAATATTAAAACTTTATCTAGCCCACAGGGGATTTTTTATACCCCTATTGTGAATTCAGTAATATCATGAGAGACTATAATGTATTAAGAAAGTTTGCATTACAAGCTATTTGTTTAAACTAAACTTTCCTCTAAATGTTTTCCACCGTTGAAAAGGGGATTGTCCAGTTTGTCTACAATTGAATTTCTGGGATGGAATGGGATGAAATATCTGGACAATTGCATATGAATGATGGGAATTTGTTTCTACCGTGTTACTAAAGTGCTACTCTTAATCTGGAAGCTTTTCTTTGATATTGAGGTCTCGATTTGGAAACTTGTGCGTTTTCCTTAACGAATACAAATTTTAAAGCACTATCTACTATTATTAATTAGTTCACCAGGATTTGAACATTTCTTGTTGGGAATATGTAACAAGATATGGGTTTCTTGAAATGGTCGCTAGGTTAAAGGTACATGGGGAAACTGGCCTCCATAGTCATAGTAAGTCGTTATCTATTAAGGGTAGAATCAAACGACAAAAAAGTGAATTGTCTCGATTACATAATGCTACCCATATTTCATTTTCAACCCCAGTATATTTTTCTTGTATGTGTGGAATTTATGATTTTCCTTTAAAACAAACCACTAATTTAATAGGGTTGCAATTAATTTCGCTTTAAAATAGTACTACTTCTGACGGTTTAACCTTGGCAACATTACGTGTTGAGAATCTGTTAGTACCGATCATTCATTGTGTGTTAAAATATGCTAGTAGTTAATTTTTACACATAACATGAATCATGTATTTAGGGAGGGCTTTTTCCCCCCGGAGCGTAGGAGGCTGAGGAGTGACCTTTATAGAGGTTTATAAAATCATTGTGGGGGGAGGGGGGCACGCATAGGGTGAATAATCAAGGTCTTTTTCCTGGGGTAGGGGAGTCCTAATCTGGAGGGCATAAATTTAAGACGAGAGGGGAAAGATTTAAAAGGGACCTGAGAGGCAACTTTTTCATGCAGAGGGTGGTACGTGTTTGGAAAGAGCTGCCAGAGGAGGTGGTAGAGGTGGGTTCAGGTACAACATTTAAAAGGCGTTTGAATGGGAACATGAATAGGAAGGGTTTAGAGGGATAGGGGCCAGATGCTGGCAAATGGGACTAGACCAGTTTAGGATAACTGACCAGCACAGACGAGTTGAATTGAAGGGTCTGTTTCCATGCTATATAAGTGGCTCTAGAAATAATGGATGTATTGTTGGTCATTTGTCAAGATTCTATAGAATCTGGGATAGTTCCCATGGATTGGAGGTTACGGATTGATTCCGGAAGCAGAGGCTACAGCCTAAGGATATGGGTAGGCCATTTGGAACTGAGATGAGGATACATTTCTTTACCTAGAGAGCGGTGAGGGACCAGTGGATGTGGCTTACTTGAACTTCCAGAAGGCTTTCAATAAGATCCCACATAAAAGATTAGTATGTAAGTCAAAAGCGCAGGGGATTGCACGTAGTGAATAGACATGGATAAAGAACTGTTTGGCAGACAAGAAACAAAGAGTTGGAATAATCCATTTTCTGAGTGGCAGCCAAATGCTAGTGGGAAATTGCAGGGATCACTGCTACTCCAGCTACTCACAATACATGATAATGGTTTAGATGAGAGAGCTAAATGTAATATCTCCAAGCATGCAGACAATATAAAGCTGAGTGGGAGGGTGAACTGTGAGGAGGATGCAGAGATGATTCGGTGTGATTTCGATAAATTGAGTGTGTGGGCAAATGCATGGCAGATGAAGTATAATGTGGATAAATGTCAAGTTATTCACTTTGGTAGCAAAAACTGTAAGATGAATTATTATTTGAATATTGATAGATTGAGTGAGTAAGGAGGAAATACCACAATAGCTGGGAGTTTTTGTACAATAGTCACTGAACGTGAGTATGCAGGTGCAGCAGGCGGTGAAGAAAGCAAATGGTACAATGACCTTCATAGCATCAGGATTAGAGTACAGGAGCTGGGATATCTTGTTTCAGTTTATACAGGGCCTTGGTGAGAGTACACCTAGAATATTGTGTGCAGTTTTCATCTTCTTTATCTGAGGAAGAATAATCTGCCCATGGAGGGAGTGCAACAAAGGTTTATCAAACTGATTCGTAGGATGGCAGGACTGATGTATGATGAGAGACAGGATTGGTTAAGCCCATATTCACTGGAGTCGAGAAGAATGAAGGGGGAATCTCAGAGAAATGTATAAAATTCTAACAGGATCAACATAGGAGAGACGTTCTGGTTGATAAGAGATTCTGGAACCAAGGGGCCACAGTCTAAGGATACAGGGTAGGCCATTTAGGACTGAGATGAGGATAAATTTCTTTACCCACAGAGTGGTGAGTCTGTGGAATTCTCTGCCACAGAAAGCAGTTGAGGCCAAGACATTGAATGTTTTCAACTCAGAGATAGTTATAGTTCTTAGATCAAACGGTCTGGGGCAAGAAAAGGACCAGAGTACTGAGTTGGATGATCAGTCATGATCACGTTGAATGATAGAGCAGGCTTGAAGGACCAAATGGCCTACACCAGTTCCTGTTTTCAATGTTTCTGTATGTAAGGTGCCTGCAAATGTTTATGTCTTACCGTTGGTATTTGCAGTTTTGAATGTGAAATTTTGATGACAAGTATCTGAAATTCTTATCATGGAATTTGGGAAAAACCCAAAAGTCAATACCGTTTTAGAGAATAATTTCAGAAACTGCCAGTCTGATGGCACATTTAATTGTATATTAGACTTTGCTGTCTTTATTTTAAACTGCACCAACCTTCATTCACCATCTGTGAGCCCTGTGCTCACTGGCTCCCCCCATCCGTCACCAAATACTTCCTGCTTCTTCAACACCTCCAACTTGAAATTTTAACCCTCCTTCTAGTCCCTCCAAGGTCTGGGCCTTGCCTATCTCAGTAACTATCCGCAGACCTACACTCTCCAATATCTCTGTTCCTCCAACTCTCAAGCAATATCTAATTTAATTGTTCCACGCTAATGGCCACGCTGCCTAGGCACTGTAGTCTGGAATTCAATGCCTGTGCCTTTCTGCCACCCTGTCTCTCTTCTTCTTTAAGACACCCCTTAACAGATACATTTTAAGCGATTTTTGGTATCTACTGTCTTGTTATGTAGCTCAGTGTCAAATCTTCTTTGATAATGTACCTGTGAAGCAGCTTGGAATTTTTTACAACGTTAAATGACCATGTAAATGCAACTTGTTTTTCTAAATACACATCTGCCAAACAGGTGAAAGGAATACAATAGGCTTTCATCCCATTTTAATGGTATTGTCTTTTAATTAGCTAGGAAGGTGAAATTGTCCAGAATTCCTGCAATTGATCATGGTGCTTGCTGGAAAAACATATTGAGTTAGACATGGCTACAAAGTCCTGCATTACATTGCGTGCTGACATTCTCTGCCCACGTTCACTTGTGTAATATGGTGGAGGATGATTGGCTATCTCAGCTTGGCTCATCTTTGCTGGTACGTAGGCTCCTGCCAGTCTTTATTTTCAGGAGTATCAATTCAGTTTCTTGAGAATATGAGCCCCTAGTACAAAACTGCTCATGGTGTAAGCACATAATTGAGAGGTAAATATTTGATAAAGAAAATGCTGAATTGATGGTTGGCTGAGGTTGGTTTAAGCCATATAGTTGTTACAAAAATCTCTACTCTACATTTCTTATGTACTATTCAATATGCTCTGTGAAGAAAAATTTGAAGATGTAATAGAATATTTCAGTGACTTCATTGTCAATAATATATAGTAATGACATTAAAAGGAAGTTTTGAAATTTGATTAAAAATATTGATACACTATGAGGTCACTAATTTGTGAATTATGCTGAAAAGTGCATATCCAGAGAGAGAGAAAGATTGTAAATCGAGAAATCATTTTATCCTTGAAGAAAATTTAATGGGCTGGAATCTGTCTTGAAATATGCTGCCTAGTTAAAACTGTACTTCCCAGTTTCATTAGTCAAAGCTGTGAGTGGGCATGATGTTCACCCACATGAAATTAATTTGAACCCCTATTTTGAAGAACCAGTAGAAACTGGAATTTGGAATAGATAGAGATTTTGGAGGAACATCATAGGAGTTACATTGAATTGCATAGGATACAGCATAAAATACATGAAACCACATTTGGTCCAACCAATCCATGTCATTTATTCAGGACAATCAAGGCCAGTTTTGAGACATAATAAGGACTCCCCTTGGTGAGAGCAAGAACAGCAGCATAATTCTCCCCAGCACTGTGAAGAAGTGACTTGATTTTGTCAAGGTCTTGCAAGTGAGACTGAACAAGAAGGCAAGAGTCCATGGAATCTAGGGCAGTTTGGCAAATTGGATTCCCAATTTGCTTAGTGGCAGGAGACGGGGTGATGATCTAAGATTGGCAGTTGTGACTGGAAATGTGTGTCAGGTGACGTCCTGCAGGGTTTGCTGCTTGTTGTTTGTAGTGTACATTAATGATCTAAACTTGAATACACGAGGTTTGATCTGTATGTTTGTAGATGACATGAAAATTGGTGGTGTGTTAAACAGCAAGGAGGAAAACTTTAGATTACAGGACACTATAGACAGTTTGGTCAGATGGGCCAAACTATGATAAATGGAAGTGAGAAGTGATGCATTTCAGGAGGACTAATATGGCGAGAGAGTATAAAATGAATGGTATGAAATACAAAGAATGAGAGGCACCTTGGTGAGCATGTCCACAAATCCTTAAAGGAAACAGAGCAGGTGTTTAAGAAGGCAAATGGGATACTTGCCTTTATTAATCAAGGCATTGAACACAAGAGTAGGAAGATTATGGTTGAACTCTGTAAGACATAAGCTAGACCACAGCTGGAGTTCTGTGTGCAGTTCTGGTCGCCACACAATAGGAAGGATGTGATTGCATTAGAGTGGGTGCAGAGGAAGTTCACCACCATGTTGTTCAGACTGGAGGTTTTAGCTATGAAGTGTGTCTAGGAGTTGTTTTCATTTGAGCAGAGAAGGCTGAGGGGATGACCAGATTGAGTTCTGCAAAATTATGAGGGGCATAAAGGTAGACAGGAAGAAATCTTTTGCCTTAATAGAGAGGTCAGTAAGTGGGGCCATACGGTTAAGGTAATGGGCTGGAGATTTGGAGGGGATTTAATGAAAAGTATTTTCACCCAGAAGGCATCCGCAACTCGTTGCCTGGAAAGGTGGTAGAGGTGGGAACCAACACAGCAATTAAGAAGTAATTAGATGAATCCTTGAAATGCCATAGTATACTAGGCTCTGGGTGAATTGCTAGAAGATGGGACTGGAGTAGATAGATGCTTAATAACCAGTGCAAGCATGATAGTCCAAAGGGCCTCTTTCAATGCTGAACAACTCTTGCTATCATTAAAGAATGCATGGTTGGTAGTGCTGAGGAGGTTAAAGAAGTAGTTTAGTTGTATCCTGTACTTGGATACAGAGGAGGATGCAGGAAGCAGTTTAACGCCATAAACAGGTCAGGAAAAATAAGTACAATTGCTGATTCACATAGCCTGTCATATATGACAACCAACTCGACTCATACTGCCAAACCCTGTTTAGCTATTCCATCACATCACGCCTCAAACCTACATAAGTTTCAAGAGCATACAGGTTTCACTTTTTATACACCTCCTCCTCACCCCCTTCCCTGCCCCACCATTTATCCATCCATCTCACCACTCACCAGATCCTTATGTGGTGTGATGCATCTATTTCTCAGAGAATTCCTTGCATCCACAAGGTGAATAGCCCTCTTTCATTCATTCAGGGTCAAAGGACACACAAAGTCCGAAGGAGACATAGGACTGGAGGTGGATAGTCACAAATTGTGCAGCTGAAAGATGCAGAGGAGGAAGCCATGGAGATAAGTGGCACCTCTGCATGCCTGGTAATCAGAGATGGAGAGACTAGGAACAAGTAGTTGACTGGTGACAGAATTAAAAATATCTCTGACACATGTTGATTTTATTTCTTAAATGGCAGATCAACGAGAAGCCTGTGGCTTTGTCAGGATTAATACGGATCTGTTTCTTCTGTCTTTCAGAAACTGCAGCCATGGAACAACAATCTTTAAACATGCCTGATGACAATTCCTCAGAGCAGCTTGTATCTTCTGAGGATTGACCATCAGAGGATTATAAATAAGCTCTAGCACAAGTGGGGAGAGTTAAACAGGAAGTTGGGATTCACCAAATGGTTCACAAATCAAAAGTAAGTTCACAGACCCTGGTGGCAGCAACAGCTGTAGAGAGCCATATAGTGGGAAGGGACTCCTCTCTCAGCTTTGTTCAGCCAGTGCGGATGTTAAAGCCTAGAGGCCATCATTGTAGAGGAGGAGGATGATGAAGCGACAGCTGTAACTTTGGAAGGAATTGACACGTGCTACACCATGATCCACAGTAGCTATGAAAATCAAGAAGGCCTATTCCAAACTTAGTGGAGAGGTATGTAGGATCCCTGCAGTGCGGAAACAGGCCCTTTGGCCCAACGAGCCGACACTGACCCTCCAAAGAGCACCCCACTCAGACCCATCCCCTTACCCTATCCCTGTAACCCTGTATTTCCCATGACTAATGCATCTAACCTGCACATCCTTAATCACTGGGTAATTTAGCATGTCCAATCCACCTAATTAGTACATCTTTGGACTGTGGGAGGAAACCAGAGCACCCAGAGGAAACCCATGCAGACACAGAGAGAACGTGCAAACTCCATACAGTCAGTCGCCCGAGGGTGGAATTGAATCTGGGTCCCTGGCTCTGTGAGGCAGCAGTGTTAACCACTGAGCCACCATGCAGCCTAATGCTTCAAGTCTTTGCAAAAAGCCTGTCTCGAACTGGGTGACCACATCCGTGGAAGTTCAAGCAAGGCCGTCAGGTGAGTCTGTACAGCCATGGCCGCAGCAGAGACTCAGCTGAGGTATCACTTGCTTTAAAGAGGGTGACAGATACTTTATCCTTGGGGAGATGGCGGTGTAATGGTAATTTCACTAGACTAACAATTCAGAACTTTAGGTTAATGTTCTGGGAGTATGGGTTTAAATCCTACAATGGCAGATGGTGAAATTTGAATTGAATAAAAATCTGGACCAAAAAAAACTTGTCTGATGACTATATTACTACATTCAATTGTAAAAACCCATCTGGTTCATGAATGTCCTTTTAGAGAAAGGAATCTGTTATCCCTACCTGGTCTGACTTACATGCGACTCCAGACCCACAGCACTATGGTTGATGCTTAACTGTCTTCTGAGCTTGGGACAGGCAATAAATGCTGGCCTAACCAGTGATACCCGCATCCCATTAACAAATTTTTTTAAAAAAATGGCATTGCTCTGCAACAAGCTGCACCCAGTGGTGCAGTATTTGCACAAGAGAGAGATGACAGGGGACATGGAAATAGTCAAAACAACCCAGCCATAACCCGTCCAATCACCCAACACTCAACATGCTGCTTCAACTCCAAACAATTGCATTAGGGACTGTTAGCATTTAAATATATATTTAGACAATTTGTTTCAACCAAAAGATCTATATCACAACATTTCACTTATTTTTAACAAAACAAGTCTTTTTCTCTATAAGATAGTTAAACAAAACAGTCACCATTAACTTAACAAAGTGATTTTTAACAAAGTATGTTATGCATTCAGGTTCAATTCTTACTTTCCCCAAGAAATCTCTTGTAAGACAAATCAATCTTTAAGTTATTTACCTGTGTAGTGATCACCCATAAGTATGATTTGGTCCTCTGGAGAATTCTCTTCAGTCAAAAGTTATTCTCAAAGGTAAATTTACATTTACTTTCTCTTGACTGTGGATATCATGGTCCCTTTTCTTGGTTACATTTCCTGTCTTTGCAACTTATTCTGCTCGTTTTCTTTTCAGTAGATACTGTGAAACCAGTATGGATTCTCCCACTAGCTTCAAAGTAGGCAATCTTCCAGCTCCTATTCATCAGAAAATTCAAACTGAGATTCAGGCTGAACTGCATTCTATTGAGTCATTGATAAAGTCAGAGTTTTGTTTGGCTTATAGCGCTGGTCTATCTAATGCAAGACTGTCAAACTCATTTAATTTGGAAAATTTCTCTTGGTGAACTGCAACATATGAAATCCAAAGCGCAACTAAAAATCTCTCCCAGCAAAGACACAAATAACTTGAAACCAGAGAGCCTTCCCTAGGTTTCACACATCCCTACTGCCAATGAAGTCTGCTTGGAGCTGTCTTCAAACTGACATTTAGATTAATTATTCCTCATTTTTAATTTCTGCTTTGATCTGATGAAGGGAATAAGTTTTTCAACTTCCATGGACTACTGAATGTTTTTAACTACTTTAGTTCCAACTTACTCTGTGGTCTTCCGTTTGTAACGTGTGTGCAGTTGATTGTACCCCCTACTTGTGAGAAGCCACTTGGGACTGCGAACTAATTACCCTGGAAAGTATCTGATCTGTGACCTGCCTTCTACATTTATGTGCAGCCAACTGAAACACTCTTTATGTAACAGGTGACGTCCAGGAAAGAAGCATAGGCTAAGCAATTGAGATCAATCGGGTTTTTGACAGTTGCTGGTAGTATATGATCACCAGGTCCAGAAGCGAGGAACTTTTCTTCTAGGCGGATGTAAATATCTGCCAACACCTGCTATGTCAATCTTAGCCTGTAGAGGCACTGTCCTTCAAAAAGTTCATACTTCACTGCATGTACTAACCTGTTACATAAGTTGTGCCTCCTGCTACTTCAGTCCTTCTGTTGTGCTCTTCTCTGCTGTTCTCCACTTTGTTTTCATTTCTGTTGGGCTCCTTCAGGGACTACCACAACAACCTTTCTGCCAATGGTGGTTATCTTCCTTTTGAAATTCAGAATTTCAATGAAAAGTACCCGATGCACCCTTCCTTCCTCATGTTGCCTGTTTGAAAGCTTCCAAAATACACGTGTGTCAACTCACATTCTCAGCAAAATGTTTGTTGGAGAGAACCACAAAAACATCTTTATTCATATTGGAGAATCGGAACTTAGAGCATCTCAAGAAGTACTAATCACTCTTTCCTCAGTTTCACCGATCAGTTTCCTGAACTGCTGGAAAATTTCTTTTAAAATCCGTGGTAAAATCTCTTCAAATAAGCCTCGTTAGCATATGCTTATGAGTGATCTGTCCCCGACGAACAGAAGACTTGCACGTACATTTTTGTTGAACTCAAAAGGAGGCATGGTGGAGGCAGAGTATGATTGGGTTTGAGAATTTTGGCAATGTTATCTTCCAGCCTCCTACAAACGACCCATGCTGGGGTTTTGGTGCAGGATCTGTGGGAAGGGAATACGATGTTAGAGCCCTCCCTTTAACCTCTTTCCGATGTCCTTGTGCTTCTAGATAGTAGAAGTTGCAGATTTGGAAGATGCTGTCAAAGGAATCTTAGTGAGCTGCAAATCATAACAACTCACTGGATGGAAAAGATCTTGCCAGCCCTTCCTATTTTTGCCACATGTTAAATGTATTGGTTATTTGTGGTTCCACTATAATTAGTTAATTCTTAAATCATCACCTAAAATTGTCCGCTAAGAGTTACAGAAGGGCCTCATACCTCATAGCATCTGGAATAATTGACCAGTATTTTCTTTTTGATTGTTTAGGTAAATATACCTGCTTTAAATTGACCAGGCCATAACATTATTCAGTTCTCCAGCTGTGGTTGTTGGAAGATTTGCCTTATGTATTGACAATGTGTAGAAATAAATGATTCTATATTCACAGAATCTCTACAATGTGGAAACAGGCCATACAGCCCAACATGTCCACACCAGCTCTGAAGAGCATCCCAGGTCCCTACCCCTGCAATTCCTATGGCTAATCCACGTAGGCCTACATGTCCCTGGATACTATGGGCAATTTAGCATGTCCAACCTACCTAACCTGCACATCTTCAGGCTATGGGAGGAAGCCAGAGAAAGCGCAGACATGTGGAGAAAGTGCAGACTCCATACAAACAGTTGTCTAGGGCTGTAATTGAACCTGGGTCTCTGGCACTGTGAGGCAGCAGTGCTAGCCACTGTGCTGCCCATAGGGCTGGAAGCAGAGCTTTAGTCTACTGAGTTATCCATGTTAATTCCATCTTCTCATAAATTGCATGATCTTTCTTCATATTCCTTAATACTGTTGCTTTCCAAGTTAGTATCAACATTTTAAGCATTGACATACATTTGGAACTTCTAATATTCCAAAGAATACTTCTGGATAACCTGTTGGGAAGTCAGATCTGCACCTTCAATGTTGAAAGGTGGATCAGTGTCAATCCATATATCATTACACATACTATATTTGGAGGGTACTAGCCATATCTTGATACCATAACTATTGGACAGCTCTAAAATTTTATTTTTCTGAAATGTTTGTGGTAAAAGCAGTTGAACCAGAAGGAAGAGCCACTTTTACATTCAATGTTTATCATCTTATATTCATGTACATAAAGCATTGGGGAAATGTGTCTTTGGTTATGAATAAAAGAACAGCTAATTCAGGTAGTGGTTAAAAATACTTTGATTTCAGATTCTGTCAATGAGTTTCAGCGAGGTATACGTGCAGAGATACCCAGCTGAACAAAACCAATCATGGATAATAAACTCTTTCCTTGATTCTGCTCCAACAGATGCTGCCAGACTTGCTGAGCTTCTCAAGCAATTTCTGTTTTTGTTTCAGACTCTTTTCTTTATTGCACTAAGGAGCTTGCTTTTTAACAGTCTGCAGGCTGGTGTGAAACCAGATTGATATTTATGTTGGTGATTTTGCATCTGGCAATTCCTACTTTCCAACATCTGAAAAACCAGCCCCTGAAATGCAATAAGATATTAAAACATTGTTTAAAAAAATGGGATTGGCACATTTATTCTGAAAAAAAGTTCACTTTCTGATTGGACAGATGGGCAAGTTTGACTTACTCTGAAGAATAAATAGTGCTTTTAAGTAGTCTGATGCCACATGGTTACACTGAAGATATTATTCTAATTATTTCTAATGGAGCTTTATGTATTCTCCAGTACTCAGTTTTTCATCTTACTATTCCAAGAATTTTGCCAACATTTCTTAACTTTTAAAAACACATTATTGAATTCTTAAAATCAAACTTTGATGTATTTGTTATAAAGTGCTTTAGAGTGAAACCTACTTGAGCTAAGCAAAAGATATACCTCCACAGAGATTTCTTTAGAAATACAACAATAGGTTCAAAGGCACAGAAAGCAAATAATTTGCCTACTATCCTGTTTTCATTTAGAAATCAGTGATTGCTCACAAAGACATTGAAACATAGCAAATAGGGGCAGAGTTAACTATCAAGCCCACTCTGCCATTCAATATCATCATGGCTGATCACTCTCGACGTCATACTCCTGTTCTCTCCTCATACCTTTAGACAGCTTTCGCTTCTAGAAATCTATCAATATCTTCCTTAAATATGTTCAACTATTTCTCTTCTCTAATCTTCTGTAGTAGAGGCTTTCACAGGTTCACCTCCCACCCTCTGACTGAAGAAATTTCTCCTCATCTCAATGAAAAGTGGCTTACCACCTTGTCCTGAACCTCTCTGCAACAGGAAATATCATTTCTTCATCCAGTCTGTCCATCTATGTCAGAATTTTATACTTTTCAATGAGATTCCCTCATTACTCTAAACTCCAGTGAATACAGGCCCAGTCAAACCAATCTTTCCTCATAGGACAAGCCTGCTATCCCAGAAATCAGTCATGAACCTATGCTGCACTTCTTCTCTGGCAAGTATATTTTTCTTCTGTAAGGAGACCAAAACTGCATGCAATACTCCAGGTGTGGTCTCCCCAAGGCCCTCTACATCTCAGCATGACTTCCTTGCTTTTTTACTCAAGCCTGTTGTAAGAAAGGGCAATGTACTATTTGCTTGTTGCACCGACAAAAGCAAAAGCTGTTTTTACACATTGGTTACACCTAGAATTCAGAATATGTCACCTTCCTTTAAATTATTCTGTCTGATTCCTTAGAAAAACAGACACACAAGTATGAAGAGATAGTAGGAACTGCAAATGCTGGAGAATCTGAGACAACAAGGTGTACAGCTGGATGAACACAG